ACTACAACTGATAGAAGGCGATAACCTTTAGGACTTGAAGCTGCGTTGATATCAACGTCCAATAACATTCGTCAGCTGTTAGCAATTACAATATTTTTACGACATGTCATCCAGCGCCAGCACATACTTTGTTGGAAAAATTTAAAAATGGTATGACCGAAGACATTTTGTACCGAATAACAGATCAATGCCAAAACATAGATTACACGTGAGAGATGTATGATGAAGCGTTAGTATTGATCGATTTACGTGTTTTAATTTCAAATTTAGCACTTAATCATTATTGTATGCCATCACCTCATCACTCAGCCACTGACTTAGGGAACACCAATTAACAACGAGAAAAATCGTGAATAGTGAGCCATTAATGGCAGCAGATCAAAAAATTATTTGTTATCGGATTATGCTGGCTGTTGCTGCTGAACAAAACGGTTTTTTTTTCTTGGACGCACCAGGTGGAACCGTTAAGACATTTTGAATATCTTTAACTCCTGCCAAATCACGGTCGCAACAGAAAATCGCACTGGCAGTTGCATCGTCAGGCATTGCGGCTACTTTGTTAGAAGGTGGGCGAACACCATATTCAACATTCAAGAATTCAATAATAATTTGCCATGAGTAAACAATGGCTCACAAATATTCACTCGAAACATTGCATAAAACTATGCAAAGTTTAAATGGCAATAGTGAACTTTTCGGTGGTGCTATCTTTATGTTGTCTGGTAATTGGTTGACGGTGGGCTTCAGTCTTTCACACAAAGCGCTCGGTAGGACCTTAGATGCGATATTAAGGAAGCTCATTCCACGGTAATTGGCACAGATTGTGGTTGTTTGGGCAGAGTACACTTAGGTTCCGATTTTCGGGCATGCTTTCATCTAACCATATTTTGCAAAAAACCTGATATGCATGCGCCTGATCAGTTCTTCACCGCCATGTTTGAATAGTTCTGCCGGTAGGCCGTCAGCTCCTGCCGCTTTGTTGTTCTTTAAGCAGGCGATTGCTCTTCGAACTTCTTTATGGTCCGGTAATAGAACGTTTTTTCCATCGTAATCGATTGGGGTCTCGGGCTCACCATCTCCGCATTCCTCATTTTCAGAACTATTCAGAAAGTTGGAGAAGTGTTCTTTCCGTAAATTCAATATACTTTGAGCATCGGTGGCTAGACCTCTTTGTATCCTACAACAGTCTGCTCCGGCCTTGAAACCTTCCGTCGTTTCATTCTTCTCTTCTTTCGGAGCGTGGGCATAAATTAACCATATGTGAAAAAATCTTGATTTGATACGGATTTTGGCGAAATAGTCATCCAAAGGGGCGAATGCCAGCAGTCCGGAGTCTCTCTCCCACCATAAATCCAACACCCAGTTTGCATTGCTTGATATGACCACTGCAATGAAGGCGCAGGGACCTACTCCCTTTGGTCCTGGTCCCTTCCTTCGCACTACTTGAATGCTGGTGATGTCAGTCTTTAGCTTAGTGAGAACATCAACCAGCTGTGCAGCGGAATCTTTCAAATTCAGGGACCAGACATTCCAGTTGCATAAGTGTTAGATATTTAAAAAAAGAAATAATAGTATTTAGGAGATCTGGAATATATAAATGAATGTGCAGTTTAGTAATTAACTGGTTGCGCAAAGTGATGAAAAATTTCATTATTAAAGCGCAAGGCATTTCGAATGGCTCTGACTATTTGTGACAGAACGGTCCACAGACATACAGCAAAAACAAAGAACTGGCGTCTATATGCTAGGGAATTTTATTTCAAGCAAAAAAAGGTAAGAGATCTGGTAGATCCAGTGAGTTAAACTCATTCTACAAGCTATGCGGACTCCTGAGGGCTAATGGCTTTGTGAAGTAGCATTAGGCACTTTAACTTTAGTAATTTGTCGAGTTTTAAGGAAAACTAGCTGTACCCTTCGCTTCGCTTTCTCACATACTTGTTGGATGTATGAAAAATTAATCATGAGATATCATTTTATCATAACTTTGTTTACTTAATACGTTAGTCCCCGGTCCACTCTCTGGAGTTTTTTTCCTGATTATCTAAGTAAAAAGGGCATCTACTCGCCGAATTTCAAGTCACCTCCACTCCTAACACAAAATGTGTGCGCCTACCAACAACCATACACGTCAACATAACTCACACCACCGCACAAAAAAGAGATGACGAGACCTAACAAAGCGACCGGTCAGCAAAAAGAAGACGGTATACGTCGCTAGCTGGGCACAAAAACAAAGCTACTTGTAAAAAGAAAACAAAACCAAAACAAAAAGCTTTATAACGCGATAACAAAAATCGCACTACTATAACATTTACACAAAGGAGTAACTTTATGTATGTGTACGTACACAAAATCGACCAAATATGTTTTTGAAAGATGAAACCTAGTCGGCAATAAAACGTTTGCAAGCAACACATACACAAAAATATACTTATCAGTTGCCCTGTCGGGTGTAGGTATCCAATTTTGGTGCTCCTCCGGTGATGCCGTCCAAGCTCCGATTCCCTTACACAAGTCCCGACTGGCTTAAAATTTTTTATATAAAATACTATAATTTTTTTTCCGGGAAACCCACGCTCGCCTAAAAAAAAGATGTTAGCACCTTTGCTAGAATCTGATCCGACTCGCACTTACGAGCCAGGCCGCAAGCTACGCGTCGGCGTACATTATTCATCTGCGAGTGTTTATTGGTGTCCAATTATTTGGCGTTGCCCCCATTACCAAAGGGACCGGGTTGTACATCACACACCACCATGGCACACCAAGTACACTGGGAGACATTCCATTTCCATAATATTTGTAAGTGGAGGTACCGTTTCGTTGGAATACCTTCTTTTGGAAACTTATACCAATGTGTAGGCACACACCGAATACAACCGTGCAATCAATCCATGGCTTCAAATAATGCACCTATTTGCTGACAGATGTCACTGAAAAAGCTTGGAGCAAACAATGGAAAAGAACGAATAAACAAAAAATAAGTTTTTGTTGCAACCAGTACGCGATAACTCCACTCCTTCCAAAACGAAAAGGAAGGAATTTTCTTTTCGGTCAGGGAAAAGAAATTTCCAACCGAAATCTCATTCCCTATATGGTCTCAACTCTTTAACGTACCGAATACCTTGGTCTTTTCCTAAGTCATCTGTCAGTGTGCATGTCTACAGTGACGCTCTCTTACTAACAATAAAGGGCCCTACATACGTTGGGGCTAGTTTCGCCGCATAAGAATTTTGCGTCCGACAGCATAAAATTCTTCCTCCATACTGACACTCCAGGCATGTATTGCACATCTCGATGCCTGAGAATGCAGCGCCTTACAAGCTTTTCGCCCGCTTGCTCTAATATAGTTCCTACTTTTGTTTAATACCTTCGAGGCTACCTCCGTTCTTCAAGTCCAACTCCTGCTTTTACCCTGATTTCATGCTCAATGGATCGGGCCCACCCCTTTCGGCATAGCCTGGAACGCTACAGATATCAAATGACCTAATGCCCTATACTCCCTGTCGCCCCTATGTATCTCCGAGGGGTTCACTATTGCCACCAACGGTTCTAGTTTCGGCCGAGAAAACGACCATCTCATCCTCGATACGTCCGTGATATCTGCCTTGACCTAAAAATCAATGCCAAGAAATACGCCCTGAGGTAACTCTGCAACCACGAGGCAACGACTTTCCCTCCACCTCGATTGGCTACAAAACCGAACATAACACCGAGATATCCCTTCCATCCGTGAGAGTCACTCTAAAAACATCCAAGGACGGCAACACCCTAATACCACACGAACTCAATTTCTGCCACCTAACCAACCCAATCTGTCAATTACTGTTCTGGTCGAACCAGCCTTCTTCGTGACCGTTTGTCACCAACGAAAGGTATTGAAATTGATGAAGAACACTACGTTTGCCGGTGGTATTGATCCCACGGGCAAGTAAACCTAACGACACCACAAAGGCTACTTAATTTCCTTTGCATATACCTCGCCCTTTATACTATTCTGCACGCAGTCAGATGTTATCTAATATATAAAATTCTCGTGTCACAGTTTTCGTTGCCATACTCCTCCGAAACGGCTTGACCGATTTTGATGAAATTTTTTGTTTCTATCCGGTATCTATGAGAATTGGCTTACATCTATTTTTCATGCCCCTAAATGTTAGGGGTAGTCCACTCCTAAACTGTTATTTTTATTTTTTAGTCAAAATTTTATGATAAACATAACAAAATACAAACAATCCTCAATTTTCACCCTCCTACGATCAACCCTTATTTTTTAATAGCCATTTTAGTAATTTAATCATTTTTCCTCTCCGGTCGAAAACTGATCAATCGCCAATTAATTAGTTATCCCACTAAATGTCATTTCTGACCCAGTAAACAGCACTGAGTAGGGATGAGAACGAAGTAATTTAATTAGTTATCCCGCTAGATGTCACTTCTGACCCAGTAAACAGCACTGCACAGCTGTCGGCCAACATTGTTGTTTATGCATCAAATATAGTAGTAACGTCGACAATTATTATTTTGCTATCTCAGTGTAACTCTCATATTAACTTTTAATCATTCCTATTTTATCAATAATAATTTAATTATCAATTTTGAGTGTATTTTGCACGATTCGTTAATCAAGTGATTTTATAACCTAAAAAGTACTCAACACGTGACACGAGATTCAAGTAACAACGGATTTTGTTTTATTAAAAAAATGTAATTGAACAAATAAGATTTTCATAGTTTCAAAAAAATAAATCATTATGAATCTTTATTTTGAAATGTCAATGGAAATATTGGTTGTATGCAAAAATTATAAGAAACAAAGTTTTCATAAAATTTAATTTTTTAATTCTGTTTGAAAAATTTTTAAATAAATCTTATATTTTTGTTATAATTTCATAAATTAAAGCTGATCATTTCAAAACTGCGGCAAAAAACCTGGCCCTAATTATACTTTTAACATTTTTCATCATTAAATAATTTCATTATTTCTATTTATATATGTTTTGTACAGTGAGCAATGCCAAGAGACCGCAAAGGGGCTGATTTGAGCCGCAAAGCACATCAGAAAGCACAGAAGAACAAATCCAGCAACAAAATACTGACGCACGTCTCAGAATAGCGCAATTGCATCAAGAAGAGCCAGAAGATACACGAGCTGAACTCAATGAAGTCAGAAGATTAGAACAACGACAATTATACCGTTTCACAGTCAATAGACGAAGAACAAATGACGAACAACGACAACAGATACCTCGAGCATTTATATCTGATTCATTCCTGCGTCTAGCATTCCGGTATGAGCCCGATATTGAATATTATGCTCATTCAAAAGTGGTAATTGGTGCCATGGACAAGGAATGTCCGCATTGTCATGCTCTGAAATTCAAAAATGAACCAGCTGGGATTTGTTGCGCGTCAGGAAAAGTGCAACTACCTGAAATTGAAACACCACCTGAACCATTGAACGGCTTACTTATCGGCACGGATCCAGATTCTAACGTGTTCCTGAAGTCAATTCGCAGATTCAATTCATGCTTTCAAATGACATCGTTCGGAGCGACAGAAATAGTTCAAAATACTAATGCAAATGGTCAACAATTCAATTCTACATTCAAAATCAGATGCCAAGTTTATCATAAAATGGGCTCACTGCTGCCAATGTCAAACAAACCACATAAATTCTTACAAATCTACTTTATGGGCGGCGAGGATTCCGGAAACGCACTTGCCAATCGCGTGAATGCACGTTGTGATTATAATAACCTTGATTCACTTTATGCCAGGCGCATTGCCAGCGAGCTAGATGCTCTTTTGAATGAGCACAACGAGTTGTTGAAAATATTCAAATCACATATGCACCAATTACAAAGCGATAATCACGTTATCGTCATTATTCCTGATAAAACACCAGCTGGAGAGCATATTCGTAGATTCAATGCACCCGTTGTTGATGATGTTGCTGGAATCATGGTTGGCGATTGTACAGCTGCACGAGAAATTGTGATTCGGAGAAGAAATAATAATCTTCAGTTCATTGCTGACGCACATCGTTCATATGACGCTCTCCAATATCCGCTAATATTCTGGAAGGGACAAGATGGATATTGCATAAACATAAAACAACGAGATCCCGTATCAGGTACTTCATTGATTATTAATTTGATCATTAATCATTTAACAAAAAAAAATTAAATTATTGAACGTAATAAATTTAAATTAGTTTTTATGAACAAATATTACAGGAGCTAAAACAAACAAGAACGTTAGCTCAAAGGATTATTATGCGTACCGATTGACGATTAGACGTGGCTTGGACAACGTCATTTTACGATGTCGTGAGCTTTGTCAACAATTCATGGTCGACATGTACGCGAAGATTGAGAGCGAACGACTACGATACTTACGATATAATCAACAAAAGCTGCGCGCGGAAGGGTTCATTCATTTGCTAGACGCTATCAACAACAACGCCGACGTCGGCGAAATTGGTAACCATGTCATTTTACCATCATCGTACGTAGGCAGTCCACGTCATATGCAAGAATATATACAGGATGCTCTGACTTTGGTGCGCGAATATGGACGACCATGTTTATTTATCACGTTCACATGTAATCCAAAATGGCCTGAGATTACGTCTTTGCTACTGCCTGGCCAAAATGCAAAACATCGCCATGACATTAAAGCACGTGTGTTCAGACAAAAGTTGAAGTCTTTAATAAGTTTCATTACTATATCACATGTATTCGGTCCCACACGTTGCTGGATGTATTCGGTTGAGTGGCAGAAGCGAGGATTACCTCATGCACACATTTTGGTTTGGTTCATCGACAAAATCCGTCCTGAAGAAATCGATAGTATCATTTCTGCGGAAATTCCAGATCCATCCACTGACCAACTACTGTTTGATATTGTAACAACAAACATGATTCATGGTCCATGTGGTGCTCTCAATAACTCATCGCCTTGCCTGGCTGATGGAAAATGTACTAAAAATGTCCCTAAAGATTTTACAAATCATACGGTCACAAATGTCGACAGATACCCAATATATCGTCGAAGAAATCCTGAAAATGGCGGAACACCATTTATTAAAAATTTCATCAACACAGACATTGATATTGGCAATCGTTGGGTGGTGCCATATTCGCCTCTGTTGAGCAAGACATATAATGCTCATATTAATGTTGAGTTCTGTAGTTCTGTGAAGGGCATCAAATACGTTTGCAAGTATGTCCATAAAGGCAGTGATATGGCTTTATTTAGAGTGGAAACTTCTAATGTGAATGCTCCTCCAGTGAATAAAAACGATGAAATAACGCTCTACCAATTTGGTCGGTACATTAGCTCCAATGAAGCTGCTTGGCGTATCTTTGGTTTTCCAATTCATGAACGGGATCCAGCAGTTGTTCAGTTAGCTATCCATCTTGAAAACGGTCAGTGTGTATTTTTCACGAACGATACAGCGATTGATCGTGCAATAAATCCACCTAAAACTACACTCACTGCATTTTTTGAATTGTGTAATCGTGCGGATGATTTTGGTGCCTTTGCACGAACATTACTATATTCACAAGTACTACGCTATTTCATGGACTCAAACAAAAACATGGATGCCCCGCAAGCAAGGCTCACCAGTTGCTGCATGTCTCAATTTATTTAAATCAAACGCACTGGGGCGATTATTTACAGTCATTCCAAGACACACTGAGTGCTTTTATCTGCGACTGTTGTTGGTTAATGTTACTGGACCATAATCATTTCAAGATATACGTAAAGTGAATGGGCAACAATATCCAACGTAGATGCATGCCTTGCACTCGGCTTGCTGGAAGACGACAACCAGTGGGAATGCATGCTTGCTGAAGCTGCATTGAACTGTACAGCAATACAAATTCGTCTACTATTCGCTATAATGTTGACTATATGTTTCCCAGCCCGAGCACAGATATTATGGGAAAATCACAAAGATTCAATGACTGATGATATATTGCATCAACATCGTATACGGTGCCACGATCTAACCATAACATTCAGCGACGAAATGTACAATGAAGCATTGATTGCTATTGAGGATCTTTGCATTGTCATTGCCATCTTACCACTTAGTAATTTCGGTATGAATTCGCCAAATAGAAATGCATATGATATAATGAATACTGAAATGAATCGTGAACTGAAGTACAGTATTGTAGAAATGGCAGCGATTATTGCTCGCTATGTCCCACTACTGAATGAGGAACAAAGAACCATTTATGATCGCATTATGTTCGCAGTTTCAGCTGGACAAGGTGGGTTCTTCTTTTTGGATGCACCGGGTGGAACTGGCAAAACATTCGTTATTTCGCTAATTCTTGCTGAAATACGATCAAATAATGGCATCGCATTGGCCGTTGCATCATCGGGCATTGCAGTAACTTTATTGGATGGAGGTAGAACAGCTCATTCAGTATTTAAGCTGCCACTAAATATTCATAATAACCCTGACGCAGTATGCAACATTAAGAAACAATCTGCCACCTCCACTTTTTATTATTACAATATATATGTGCGCTTGTACATACGTACATACATATGTATACCTACAGTGGCTGTTGATCAAGCGCCTACCAACAACCACACACGTCAAAACAAACTACCGCGCAAAAAGGAGATGACAAGAAAATAACAAAGCGACCGACCAGCTTAGTGAAGACGGCGTGGGTCGCTAGCTACGTACAATAACAAAATCCAACTGGGAGACAAACAACACCAAGTGAATTTCGCTATCGCGGTAAACAAATTGTACGACCACAAAGATTTAACAGCAAAGTCAAGCTACAGAACAATAAAACAAAATATGTTTTTGGGTGCATCCAAGGTGTGGTCCAACCGAACTGGTTACGATTTCATTTAAATTTAAATGTATTTTTAGATAAGTTCTTATGTGTTGTGAGGTCTCCAAAAGCATCGGATTCCCGCTGCGAGACTTATTGCCACCAGGCCCGTACGTATGATCCTTACGCGGTAGCTGATACCCTCGATATGGCGTTTAAATGATCGCCTTATCCGTCGCTGCTGTAGTTGCTGTATGTGCGCCTCGATGTTATCGATTAGGGCATCGGGCATTGGTTGGACGCCTGTCATATTGTTCCACGTACTTGGTGTCGTGGATTTCGTGTTCTGTAGCCACCGCTCTATCTCGCCCACCACGTTTGCGTATCCGCCCAAATCGCCGACTTCCAGTATACCGCCGCCTGCTGTTAGGCTTATTGCATCGAATATGCAGAGCTCAGCCGGTTGTGGTTACGGTTCGTCGTTCGTCGATATTGTTTCATAGTATATACGCAAGCGCTTTTTATACTCGATATACCCTCTGCCACGCACTTTACCGTCTTCCTCGGATATTTCGAGTTCCCCTCACTCTTCGTCATCGCTACCGCTGCTACCTGCATCTTCCTCGCTTCGTACGAATAGTATTGTTGATGCAGACTCACTCGTTCTTTTTGTTCTGGCTCGTTGTGTTGATGAGAAAGTATCTCCTCCTCTGTAAGCCTTCGTATACGTACGCGCTGCCACTCAATTTTTCGTTTACTCCTGCTCGCTATGTATATCGCGAATATTTGTTTTAGAGCACGTACACTTCACTAGCACAATCTGTCGCTCGGTCACTTTAGTCGCTAGAACACTTGATGTGAGTTTGGTCGCTACACCGGCTTTTTATTTTGATTTTCATCGCTCGATCAACTGAGTATTTCGGTTATTTTTTTTATCCGTTTTTTTTTTTGTGTGTATATATTTATATATTTACTTTTTTTTTTCACTTGTTACATATATTTTATTTTGATTGTATGTATTTACCTTAGTTTTATATATTTACTGGCTGACCCGGCAAACGTTTTTTTGGTATATGAATAATTTTCTAGTAATTTCTAGTGTGGACAAAAAATAGCTTACTTATTGTAAGTATGTAAGTATGTTAGAATGTGTATATTGTATGTATGTAATAATGTGGTATATGCGTGAAATAAGCAACGAGCGCTGACCCGGCAAACGTTTTTTTGCCATATGAATAATTTCCTAGTAATTTCTAGTGTAGACAAAAAATAGCTTACTTATTGTTAACGATGAGGGAATATAAAAATAACAAAAGGCAAACATTATTTTTAAGTTATTATAATTTATTCCTTAAAATTATATATTATTAATTAAACAATTTCGATAGTAACACTATTAAACAATATCAATCTCTTAATGCTATTGCGTGAACAATATTTTTTGTTAGTCCATCTTTAGCTAACACAAGCAAACTGGATGGTTTACCCACTCGAGAGCATGCCACGTATAATTGTCCGTGTGAAAAACATGGTGTTCTCAAATATAAGCCGCAAACAGACATAGTTTGACCTTGGGATTTGCGGGTACAAATCACGAAGCAAGATAATTGGAGATCCAACCTTTAATTGTAAATTATGCTATGGCATGCCTGGCAAATCCAGTGAGTTCAAAAACTCTGTTGGAAGATTTACTGCATCGCTGTCGTCACAAACTGTATCAATAGATTTATATGATACCAAGTTCCCTGGCAACAACATTTGTATCTTCAGATTTAAATGGTCAACGTCTACATTTTTTGCCGCTAAAATCGCTCTTTCTGCAAGCCACTCATGATTTATGTACTGTGTGTGTACATCGGGAAATATTTGTTCAATGAGAGTATCTTGCGAATCAGCCGTTGTGCAGAAATCGGTCGGTAATTTTACGTATCCAGTCTCATCTATAGCAACTTTTCCATTACCGATATCTAAGAGTTGTTTTGATTTTGAATCATTTGAACGCGCATATTTATTTTTAGCTGTATTTTTCAACATTACGCCACAATGGAGATGATTTAAGCAAGCGTTGATCTCATTAGCGTATGTTGGACGCGGAATGACTGGAAGTGTTTGTCTGAAATCACCTGAAAGGACACAACAGAGTTCCGCCAAATAGTTTGTCGTTGTTTCTAATATCTTTCAATGTCCTGTTCAACGCTTCAAGTGAATGTTTGTGTGCCATAGTACATTCATCCCAAATAATAATTTTACACCATTTCAGCACAGTGGCCATGGACGATTTGTCACGTACTGGCCGCAACAAAAACTTCTTTTGTGTTTGTATGTTCATTTCCTTTGTTTTGCCTAAGCTTCCTTTCACTCCAAGCGTTGGCAGTGACAACTGTCGGCGAATAGTTGCATTATTTGAAGCCGTGGATTGATGGCACGGTTGCTTTCGGTGTGTGCCTACCCAGTGGTATAAGTCTCCAAAAGGAAGTGTTCCCTAAAACGGTTCCTCCACTAACAAATATTAGGGCAACGGAATGCTTTGCGCGGGAATTCCGTAAAAAGGGGTGTCGCCATTTTTTTTAATGCGGCGAGGGGAAAAATTATCCCAGTGTACTTGGTGTGCCATGGTGGCGTGCGCTATACAACCCGGTCCCTTTGGGCAATGGGGGCGGCGCCAAATGATTGGGCATCAATACACACTCGCAGAAGAATTTTAAAGGCCGACGCATAGCTTGCGGCCGGTCTCGTAAGTGCATGCCGGATCAAATTCTAGCAATCTATCTACGAAAGTGCGAACATCTTTTTTTGCGCAGGCATGCGTTTTAGAGAGAAAAAAAAAGAAAAATAAATAAATAGCGTTTTGCCAGGCGAGGCAAGTGATAGTGTAAGGGCAGCTGAACCCTTGTGAAAAGTAGTGAAAGGTTTAAGCCAGTCGGGGCTAGTTTAATAGCAGTCGAAGCCCAGTGCAAAACCGGTTTTTATATTTCAGTGGCGGAGCCTGAGTCTGGCGTCGGCATCATCAGGAGGAGCACCGAAGTTTGGGTACCCACACCCGACCGAGCAACCGCTAAGTATCATTTTGATAATTTATTGTTTTCTTGCGCTTTGTCGTGCCGACAGTGTCACCACCTTCGTTACGTCCCTACCCATCCTTCTAGCATCCCGCACCCAGAGCCCAGTCATACAGGCGGGTTAAAGTTACGCCCGGCAGCACGGGAGTAGTGCGAGTGGGTTCNCCAACGTCGGACCCAAAATTTATAGATACATATATTTTGCAAAAGAGGTTGTCCTTTGAAAAATTGATTTTGTTCCAGCACATTCCGAGTGGCGTTTTGTGCTGTTGTTTTTGTGTTTTCATAATTATTAATAATTTGCTATTTTTTTTTTATTTAGTGTTAGTAGGGCGTTCCACGAGTGGAAAGAGTTAGAAGAGATTGGGAGTTGAGCCCAGGCCCACAGGAGAGTTGAATAGTCTAATCTATCGAGAAGAAAGTTGGTGAGTCCGTTCCGTTTTGTCATTTTTTTTGTTTGTTGCGGTAAATTTATTTGAGCATTATACCGGTAGTAATAATTGAACATCAAGTGGATAGAGACTTGCCCAGGAGTAACCAGTAGTAGTCCTACCGAGTCAAATCGTGGTTTTTGGTTTCTTTCGTCAACTAAAGATTTGTTTTGTCGATATTTGATTTTATTTCAATTAAATTTCTGTTTTTTATTTTATTTATCAAATTATTTCATTAATTTTTTCTATTGTCACCGTAGACGATAATCCGTTTTTTGAATAAATTTTCTTGTTTCGTGTGGTTAGACTCTACTGTTGTTTTCGTGATAGGGTGTTTTGTTGTGCCAGTATAGGGCAACGCAGAAGAAACTTTAGGATGATAGATTTTTTTTTTTTAATTTGAATAAAACTAAAATTTTGTTTATTTAATGAATTTTTTTTCTTTGGTTTTTTACTCCGTTTTGAGTCTACATTTTTTTTTTATTTTAATATGGAGATTAATCGTTTAGCGCAGAATGAGCTCGCGAACGAGGTGGAGGCGCGCGGCCTTCCAGTCGGTACGGTCGAAGCCATGCGTAGGTCGCAAAGGGCATCGCGGTTAATTGAGCGAAGAGGTTCGGTAAACCTCTTCCAAGACCACCCCTTCAGTTTCGACGAAGATAAGGCGGGCAACAACGGAGAGATGAGTCAGCAGATGGAGCTGAAGAGCAAATTGTTGCTCCATCTCGCCGAACTACAAGAGGTAGGCGGCAGCGAAGAAGCCGAAGAGGAAATCGGTTCGGTCGAGCACTCGGGTGCCACTCGTTCGGACCCGATAGTACCCCCGCACGTGGAGATACGACGCGTGGCCGTGGAGACCGTCGAGTCTCAGAAGCCGGTGAACTTGTCAAAGTGGGACGTCCACTTTGACGGCGAAAAAGTGGGAATGTCGCTTTTCGCGTTCTTAGAAAGGGTTGAGGAGTTGGGCGAGGCACGCGGTGTGACCCAAGTCAACTTTTTCGCGGCGCGGTATATTTGTTTAGTGGAAAGGCGTTATTATGGTTCAGGTCGGTTAGAAAGACATTAGGAAGTTGGGAGGAGCTGGTAAGAGAGATGAAGTTGGAGTTTTTGCACCCCAACTACGACTACCTCCTGCCAGATGAGATTAGGAGAAGGACTTAAGGAACGAACTAGTCCATAGGCGTTTATGTAAAACAGAGCTATTACCCTGTGTCTCCCGTCATACAGTCGCGTATGGACGAGGAGATTAAGGGTATGCTCGATAAAGGGGTGATAGAGAAATCACATAGTCCTTGGGCGTCTCCAGTAGTTATGATCAGGAAGAAAAACGGTACATATAGGCTTTGTGTAGATTATAGGGTTTTAAATAAATGTATCCAGAAAAATAGTTACTCCATACGTGTCGGCGACCGGCAAATTCCGGTGGAGGAGCAGTCAAGGCCCTTCACAGCGTTTACGGTACGCTGTAGAGGACTATTTCAGTTCAAGAGGATGACATACGGTTTGCATAATGCACCAACAACTTGGCAGAGATTTATAGATTCGGTCATAGGACCAAAGTAAGAACCTCATGTTTTTGTGTATTTGGACGATATTATTATCGTCACAAATAATTCTGAGAAGCTCTTAGAGATTTTGAAAGACTTTTTAGATAAATAACCTAGAGCAGGGCTTAGATTAAATAGGGATAAATGTAATTTTTGTCGGTCTTAACTGAGGTATTTGGGCTACACGGTGGACAAGAATGGTCTACACGTAGATCCCGAGAAGGTAGAGGCGATGCTTCGGATTGAGGTCCCGAAGAACGTAAATCAAGTGCGGTCATTTATAGGAACTGTGTCCTGGTACCGCAGATTTATAAAAGACTTTGCAGAATTAGTTAGGCCTCTCACCGATTTAACAAAGAAAAATCGAAACTTCAATTGGACTGAATATTGTGAAAGGAGTTTAAGAGAAGCGAAAGAGCGCTTGGTGACAGCTCCGATCTTGAGTTGCCCGCATTTTGATAGGCCTTTTACAATCCAGGCAGACGCGTCTGATTTCGGTATAGGTGCGGGTTATAGCTTATTTGAGTAGGTCCTTAAACAACGGAGAGCGAAACTATTCGACGACCGAAAAGGCCTGGCTAGCGGTTCTGTGGGCTGTTGAGAAACTGCGGTCATATGTTGAGGGCGCTAAATTCACGGTTTACGGCGACTCGCCAGAGTGGAAAAAGGTAATAGGGCGTGATGATAGAGATGAGATTTTGAGACAATGTCACGACAGTCCGTTGGCTGGCCACATGGGCGTGAATAAGGCTTTAGCGCGCGTTTCACAAAAGTGATACTGGCCAAGGATGAGGTCGGACATAGCAAAGTATGTTAGGGCGTGCAGAACTTGTAAACAGGTGAAACCTGAAAATTCACAGCCAGCTGGGGGTATGATAGAGAGGACCAAGGCAGTCGAGCCTTGGGAAATGATTTGGGTAGATCTGGTAGGGCCTTTAGTGAAGTCGACACGAGGCTACCAGTATATTTTAACCGTAGTGGACTATTTTTCCAAATTTCCCTTCCTCTTCCCTTTGCGTACTGCGACNAGGAGGTGTTCCCCAAAACGGTTCCTCCACTAACAAATATTAGGGCAACGGAATGCTTTGCGCGGGAGTTCCGTAAAAAGGGGTGTCGCCTTTTTCTTTAATGCGGCGAGGAGAAAAATTATTTCAGTGTACTTGGTGGCGTGCGCCATACAACCCGGTCTCTTTGGGTAATGGGGGCGGCGCAAAATGATTGGGCGCCAATACACACTCGCAGGAGAATTTTAAAGGCCGACGCGTAGCTTGCGGCCGGGCTCGTAAGTGCGTGCCGGATCAGATTCTAGCAATCTATCTACGAAAGTGCGAACATCTTTTTTTGCGCAGGCGTTCGTTTTAGAGAGAAAAAAAAAGAAAAATAAATAAATAGCGTTTTGCCAGGCGAGGCAAGTGATAGTGTAAGGGCAGCTGAACCCTTGTGAAAAGTAGTGAAAGGTTTAAGCCAGTCGGGGCTAGTTTAATAGCAGTCGAAGCCCAGTGCAAAACCGGTTTTTATATTTCAGTGGCGGAGCCTGAGTCTGGCGTCGGCATCATCAGGAGGAGCACCGAAGTTTGGGTACCCACACCCGACCGAGCAACCGCTAAGTATCATATTGTTAATTTATTGTTTGCTTGCGCTTTGTCGTGCTGACAGTGTCACCACCCTCGTTACGTCCCTACCCATCCTTCCAGCATCTCGCACCCATAGCCCAGTCATACAGGCGGGTTAAAGTTACGCCCGGCAGCACGGGAGTAGTGCGAGTGGGTTCGTAACCAGTTCGGTTGAACCACACCTCGGGTGCACCCAAAAATATATTTTGTTTTATTGCTCTGTAGCTTGACTTTGCTGTCAAATCTTTGTTGTCGTGCAATTTGTTTACCGCGTTAGCGAAATTCACTTGGTGTTGTTTTTCTCCCAGTTGGATTTTGTTATTGTACGTAGCTAGCGATCCACGCCGTCTTCACTAAGCTTGCCGGTCGCTTTGTTATTTTCTTGTCATCTCCTTTTTGTGCGGCAGTTTGTTTTGTCGTGTGTGGTTGTTGGTAGACGCTTGACCAACAGCCACTGTAGGTATACATATGTATGTACGTATGTACATGTGCACATACATATTGTAATAATAAAAAGTGGAGGTGACAAATTGGCGCCCAACGTCGGACCCAAAATTTATAGATACATATATTTTGCAAAAGAGGTTGTCCTTTGAAAAATTGATTTTGTTCCAGCACATTCCGAGTGGCGTTTTGCGCTGTTGTTTTTGTGTTTTCATAATTATTAATAATTTGCTATTTATTTTTATTCACTGTTAGTAGGGCATTCCACGAGTGCAAAGAGGTAGAAGAGATTGGGAGTTGAACCCAGGCCCACAGGAAAGTTGAATAGTCTAATCTATCGAGAAGAAAGCTGGTGAGTCCGTTCCGTTATGTCATTTTTTTTGTTTGTTGCGGTAAATTTATTTGAGCATTATACCGATAGTAATAATTGAACGTCAAGTGGGTAGAGACCTGTCCAGGAGTAACCAGTAGTAATCCTACCGAGTCAAATCGTGGTTTTTGGTTTCTTACGCCAACTAAAGATTTATTTTGTCGATATTTGATTTTATTTCAATTAAATTTCTGTTTTTTATTTTATTTATCAAATTATATCATTAATTTTTTGTATTGTCACCGTAGACGATTTATCCGTTTTTTGATTAAATTTTCTTGTTTCGTGTGGTTAGACTCTACCGTTGTTTTCGTGATAGGGTGTTTTGTTGTGCCAGTATAGGGCAACGCGGAAGAAACTTTAGGGTGATAGATTTTTTTTTTCCAGTCGGTACGGTCGTGGCCATGCGTAGGTCGCTAAGGGCATCGCGATAGTACCCCCGCACGTGGAGATACGACGCGTGGCCGAGGAGACAGTCGAGTCTCAGAAGCCGGTGAATTTGTCAAAGAGGGACGTCCACTTTGACGGCGAAAAAGCGGGAATGTCGCTTTTCGCGTTCTTAGAAAGGGTAGAGGAGTCGAGCGAGGCACGCGGTGTGACCCAAGCTCAACTTTTCCGCTGCGCGGTAGATTTGTTTAGTGGAAAGGCGTTATTATGGTTCAAGTCGGTTAGAAAGACATTAGGTAGTTGGGAGGAGCTGGTAAGAGAGTTGAAGTTGGAGTTTTTGCACCCCAACTACGACTACCTCCTACCAGATGAGATTAAGAGAAGGACTTAGGGAACGAACTAGTCCATAAGCGTTTATGTAGCGACGCTGAAGATAATGTTTGGTAGGCTTCAGGAGCCTTGTTAGGATTGATTAGGTCGAATCTTCTTCCCTTTTATCAGACCCTGTTAGTTCTTATTACGATAGGGTCGATCACGGAACTAGTTGGTTTGGGTAGGCAACTAGAGGCAGTGAGGTCATCGGTGGATTCGTTTGTCCCTCCTCCGAGTCATAAGGCCAAAGGTTTATTGGAACGTGATTTGGCTTATGTCTCGGCTGGCGTAGAGGTCACGGCGGTGGCAGAGCTGGACCACATTGACAGCTTAAGACCGGGGTAGAATACCGTTTGCTTTAATTGTAGGAGATTCGGACATATATCTACAGAGTGTAGGAAGGGTATAAAGTGCTTCGGGTGCGGAAGACTTGGAGTCATGAAGCGGGATTGCCCGGTGTGTACGGCGAAGCCGAATGGCTCCCCGAGAACCAAACGAAGTACGGCTTCCAGTGGTGGTCGAAACCACAACCCCTTTAGGTCAGGGCCCGTGAGAGAAAGAAGGTCGGATGACAGAATAGGGAATTCTCGATCGAGCGATAGGGTTGTCAGGTCGGACAACAGATCGGGAAACGGGCGATAGACCCCTGGGACAGCAGGACAGGCGGTCTATTAGGTCGAGTTAGTGAACCTGCTAACTCCCAGCTGGCAAGATTAGGTGTCGATTTTGAAGAGGTTAGGTTAGCGTTTTCGTTGGTGACGGACGGTCACGACGAACGCCCTTATTTGGATGTTAATATCGATGGTTTTGCTTTTAGGGCTTTGTTGGATTCTGGTGCGACCAGAACAGTAATAGGTCGGCTAGGTTGGCAAAAATTTAACGCGTATGGTATTAGGGTAAATTCTGTTTCTAATGTTTTGAGAGTGACTCTCGCGGAGTTACCTCAAGGCGTATCTCTTGGCATCGATGTTTGGGCCAAGGCGGGCATTATCCCGGATTTGTCGAAAATGGCGTGGTCGTTTTCTCGGCCGGAACCAGAACCATTGGTGCCAATAGTGGACCACTCCGAGTTAGGCGATAGAGAGTTTAGGTCATTAGATAATTTAATAGCTGAGGCATTCCAGGCTATGCCGGAAGGGCTAGGTCGGACCCATTTGGTCGAGCATAGGATCAGGGTAAAGGCAGGAGTGGAACCTGTAAACCAGAGGTATTACCCTGTGTCTCCCGTCATACAGTCGCTTATGGACGAAGAGATTAAGGATATGCTCGATAAAGGGGTGATAGAGAAATCACATAGTCCTTGGGCGTCTCCAGTAGTTATGTTCAGAAAGAAGGACGGTACATATAGGTTTTGGGTAGATTATAGGGTTTTAAATAAATGTACCCAGAAAGATAGTTACCCGCTCCCATATCTATCGGCGTCATTAATCCTGATAAAACACCAGCTGGAGAGCATATTCGTAGATTCAATGCACCCGTTGTTGATGATGTTGCTGGAATCATGGTTGGCGTTTGTACAGCTGCACGAGAAATTGTGATTCGGAGAAGAAATAATAATCTTCAGTTCATTGCTGACACACATCGTTCATATGACGCTCTCCAATATCCGCTAATATTCTNCCACCTAAAACTACACTCACTGCATTTTTTGAATTGTGTAATCGTGCGGATGATTTTGGTGCCTTTGCAGGAACATTACTATATTCACAAGTACCACGCTATTTCACATGGACTCAAACAAAAACATGGATGCCCCGCAAGCAAGGCTCACCAGTTACTGCATGTCTCAATTTATTTAAATCAAACGCATTGGGGCGATTATTTACAGTCAATCCAAGACACACTGAGTGCTTTTGGTTAATGCTACTGACCCATTATCATTTCAAGATATACGTAAAGTGAATGGGCAACAATATCCAACGTATAAAGATGCATGTCTTGCACTCGGCTTGCTGGAAGCTGCATTGAACTGTACAGCAATACAAATTCGTCTACTATTCGCTATAGTGTTGACTACATGTTTCCCAGCCCGAGCACAGATATTATGGAAAAATCACAAAGATTCAATGACTGATGAAATGTACAATGAAGCATTGATTGCTATTGAGGATCTTTGCATTGTCATTGCCATCTTACCACTTAGTAATTTCGGTATGAATTCGCCAACTAGAAATGCATATGATTTAATGAATACTGAAATGAATCGTGAACTGAAGTACAGTACTGTAGAAATGACAGCGATTGTTGCCCGCAATGTCCCACTAATGAATTAGGAACAAAGAACCATTTATGATCGCATTATGCTCGCAGTTTCAGCTCGACAAGGTGGGCTCTTCTTTTTGGATGCACCGGGTGGTACTGGCAAAACATTCGTTATTTCGCTAATTCTTGCTGATATACGATCAAATAATGGCCTCGCATTGGCCGTTGCATCATCGGGCATTGCAGCAACTTTATTGGATGGAGGTAGAACAACTCATTCAGTATTTAAGCTGTCACTAAATATTCATAATAACCCTGACGCAGTATGCAACATTAAGAAACAATTTGTCACCTCCACTTTTTATTATTACAATATGTATGTGCGCATGTACATACGTACATACATATGTATACCTACAGTGGCTGTTGATCAAGCGCCTACCAACAACCACACACGTCAAAACAAACTACCACACAAAAAGGAGATGACCAGAAAATAACAAAGCGACCGGCCAGCTTAGTGAAGACGGCGTGGGTCGCTAGCTACGTACAATAACAAAATCCAACGGGGAGAAATACAACACCAAGTGAATTTCGCTAACGCGGTAAACAAATAGCACGACAACAAAGATTTAATAGCAAAATCAAGCTACAGAGCAGAGGGTGCACCCGAGGTGTGGTTCAACCGAACTGGTTACGAACCCACTCGCACTACTCCCGTGCTGCCGGGCGTAACTTTAACCCGCCTGTATGACTGGGCTATGGGTGCGAGATGCTAGAAGGATGGGTAGGGACGTAACGAGGGTGGTGACACTGTCGGCACAACAAAGCGCAAGCAAAAAATAATTTAACAAAATGATACTTAGGGGTTGCTCGGTCGGGTGTGGGTACCCAACTTCGGTGCTCCTTCGGATGATGCCGACGCCAAGCTTTGGCTCCGCCACTGAAAAACAAAAACCTATATTGCACTGGGCTTCGACTGCCCTTAAACAAGCCCCGACTGGCTTAAACCTTTCACTACTTTTCACAAGGCTTCAGCTGCCCTTACACTATCACTTGCCTCGCCTGGCAAAATGCTTTTTTTTTATTTATCTTTTTTCTCTCTCTAAAACGAACGCCTGCGCAAAGAAAGATGTTCGCACTTTCGTAGATAGATTGCAAGAATCTGATCCGGCACGCACTTACGAGCCCGGCCGCAAGCTACGCGTCAGCCTTTAAAATTCTCCTGCGAGTGTGTATTGGTGCTCAATCATTTGGCGCCGCCCCCATTTCCCAAAGGGACCGGGTTGTATAGCGCACGCCACCATGGCACACCAAGTACACTGGGATAATTTTTCCCTCGCCGCATTGAAGAAAAAGCGACACCCCTTTTTACGGAATTCCCGCGCAAAGCATTCCGTTGCCCTAATATTTGTTAGTGGAGGAACCGTTTTAGGGAACACCTCCTATTGGAGACTTATACCACTGGGTAGGCACACACGGAAAGCAACCGTGCCATCAATCCATGGCTTCAAATATTGCAACTTTTCGCCGACTGATGTCACTGCCAACGCTTGGAGTGAAAGTAAGCTTAGGCAAAACAAAGGAAATGAACATACAAACACAAAACCAGTTTTTGTTGCGGCCAGTACGCGACAACTCCACCCCTTCTTCAACGAAAAGGAAGGAAGCTTCCTTTTGGTCAGGGGACGGAAATCTCCTACCGGATCCTATTAATCCCTATATGGCCTCAATTCCTTAACGTTCCAAGTCCCTCTGTCTGTGCCTAAGTCATCTGTCAGTGTGTGAGTGAAAGGTGACACTCTCTTCCTAATAATAAATTGCCCTACATACTTTGGGGCTAATTTCGCCGCATAATAACTCGCTGCATCCGACAGCATAAAATTTTTTCTCCAGACTAACTCTCCTGGCATGTACTGTACATCTCGACGTGTGAGATTGTACTCCCTCGCAAGCTTCTCATTCGCCTGCTCTAACCTAGATCTAATGTTGATCTTTATCTCCTTGAGCCTCTTTTTGTCACTCCTGACAATTTAATTTCTCCTGATCTACGAGACTGTCTATGAAGTCCCTACTGCCTTCAAGCGCCAATTCCCTGCAAAATTTACAAAATATGACGTAGCTCCTAACACTTCGTGCTGCGCTGTCCTAATGCAGCAAGCTACCTCCGCTAACTGTTGGTCCCGTGTCCTCTGATTCCCTGACACGTAAGCCCAAAGCGTTGTCTTGATAATTTGATTGATTCTCTCGGCCGGATTAGCCTGTGGGTGATAGTGTGCGGCGTACCGGAGTTGGACGCCGTAACCACTGCAGAGGCCCCGAAGCTCTCTACTCCTAACTTGGGGTCCATTGCCACACACAACCGACCGAGGAACTCCAAACAAAATAAATACGTTTTCCTCCAATTGTTTGCATACGCTTTTTGCCGTCGCAGTACGCAAAAAGACGAGGAGAGGAAATATGGAAAAATAATCCACTACGGTTAAAATATACTGGTAGCCTTGTCTAATATATAAAATTCTAGTGTCACAGTTTTCGTTGCCATACTCCACCGAAACGGCTTGACCGATTTTAATGAAATTTTTTGTGCTTATCCGGTATCTATGAGAATCGGCTAACATCTATTTTTCATCCCCCTAAATGTTAGGGGTAGTCCACCCCTAATTTTTTATTTTAATTTTTTAGACAAAATTTTTAATTTCTATTTTTTTACGATACAACATACAAAAATACATACAATCCTCAATTTTCACCCTCCTACGATCAACCCTTATTTTTTAATAGCCATTTTAGTATTTTAATCATTTTTCCTCTCCGGTCGAAAACTGATCAATCGCCATTTAATTAGTTATCCCGCTAGATGTCACATCTGACCCAGTTAACAGCACTACACAGTTGTCTGCCATCATTATTGTTTATGCATCAAATATAGTAGTAACGTTGACAATTATTATTTTGCTATCTCAGTGTAACTCTCATATTAACTTTTCATCAATTCTATTTTATCAATAATAATTTAATTATCAATTTTGAGTGTATTTTGCACGATTCGTTAATCAAGTGATTTTATAACCTAAAAAGTACTCAACACGTGACACGAGATTCAAGTAACAACGGATTTTGTTTTATTAAAAAAATGTAATTGAACAAATAAGATTTTCATAGTTTCAAAAAAATAAATCATTATGAATCTTTATTTTGAAATGTCAATGGAAATATTGGTTGTATGCAAAACTTATAAGAAACAAAGTTTTCATAAAATTTAATTTTTTAATTCTGTTTGAAAAATTTTTAAATAAATCTTATATTTTTGTTATAATTTCATAAATTAAAGCTGATCATTTCAAAACTGCGGCAAAAAACCTGGCCCTAATTATACTTTTAACATTTTTCATCATTAAATAATTTCATTATTTCTATTTATATATGTTTTGTACAGTGAGCAATGCCAAGAGACCGCAAAGGGGCTGATTTGAGCCGCAAAGCACATCAGAAAGCACAGAAGAACAAATCCAGCAACAAAATACTGACGCACGTCTCAGAATAGCGCAATTGCATCAAGAAGAGCCAGAAGATACACGAGCTGAACTCAATGAAGTCAGAAGATTAGAACAACGACAATTATACCGTTTCACAGTCAATAGACGAAGAACAAATGACGAACAACGACAACAGATACCTCGAGCATTTATATCTGATTCATTCCTGCGTCTAGCATTCCGGTATGAGCCCGATATTGAATATTATGCTCATTCAAAAGTGGTAATTGGTGCCATGGACAAGGAATGTCCGCATTGTCATGCTCTGAAATTCAAAAATGAACCAGCTGGGATTTGTTGCGCGTCAGGAAAAGTGCAACTACCTGAAATTGAAACACCACCTGAACCATTGAACGGCTTACTTATCGGCACGGATCCAGATTCTAACGTGTTCCTGAAGTCAATTCGCAGATTCAATTCATGCTTTCAAATGACATCGTTCGGAGCGACAGAAATAGTTCAAAATACTAATGCAAATGGTCAACAATTCAATTCTACATTCAAAATCAGATGCCAAGTTTATCATAAAATGGGCTCACTGCTGCCAATGTCAAACGAACCACATAATTTCTTACAAATCTACTTTATGGGCGGCGAGGATTCTGGAAACGCACTTGCCAATCGCGTGAATGCACGTTGTGATTATAATAACCTTGATTCACTTTATGCCAGGCGCATTGCCAGCGAGCTAGATGCTCTTTTGAATGAGCACAACGAGTTGTTGAAAATATTCAAATCACATATGCACCAATTACAAAGCGATAATCACGTTATCGTCATTAATCCTGATAAAACACCAGCTGGAGAGCATATTCGTAGATTCAATGCACCCGTTGTTGATGATGTTGCTGGAATCATGGTTGACGATTGTACAGCTGCACGAGAAATTGTGATTCGGAGAAGAAAAAATAATCTTCAGTTCATTGC